CACATAATTTTACTACTGGTAGGCCTGCCCATTGTCCCCAGCTCTATGTCGTCCTATTTAGCCATGTTTTCTAAGCTGCGCACATGTGTGCAAGCTGCATGGGCAAACAGTGTGTGTATGGAAGGCTGTGCATGTGCACGGAAGGCACATGCGCTCACAAAGTGCTCAGTTGTGCTCAGTTTTGGTGTGCAGTGAACCAGTAGTAAAATTATGTGAAACCCACCTCTGGATAGGACTATGACATGAGGTGACATGACAGCAGTGTTCCAATATTTGAGGGGCTCCTACAAAGATGGGGGGGTCAAACTATTTTCCCAAGCACCAAAAGGCAAGACAAGAAACAATGGTTGAAAACTAACTGTGGAGAGAAACAACCTACTGTAGAATGAAGGAGAAATCAACCAATGGAATGGTGAGAGCAATCAACCAATGGAATAGCTTGCCTTCAGAAGCTGTGAGTGCTCCATCACTGGAGGCTTTCAAAGAGGCTGGACAACCATTTATCTGAAATGGTAAAAGGTCTCCTGCTCGAGCAGGAGGTTGGACTAGAAGACCTCCGAAGTCCCTTCCAACTCTATTATTCTATGATACCTGCGCTCTCCTGCTAGATTAAGAACGTCTCATTAAGCTCAAGGTCCATTTGTAGGAAAATAAAGTGATGGGGATGTGATTAGCCACAAATGGAAGACCAAGAAATTCAGAGCTGTGGGCTAGGCAGAGTAGCTCAAAATTCTTCAAGAAGGCGCCAGCCACAAAACTGTACAACACTGTACAATAACTGTACAACAGCTAGAAACCTGCGTAAGAGTTGCTCTAGATGCTCAGAATGAGCATTTGGGTCAAGGAATTTACCTTGGCAATTTCTAGGTGAATGATACTTTCCTAATCAGGGTGCACACACATTCAGATTAGTTCCTGTCATTATTTTTAGTAGGCAAGAGGACATATTTCCTCTTCATTGGTGATGCATAAGAAGTCGTTGTTGTTGCTGTTGTGGCCCACCAACGGAGCTGGCAGCAGAGTCAGACAGTGAAGAGGTTGGAGAGGAACATGGGCCAGTCCTGAAGGCTTGGGGAAGGCTCGGACCAGGGCTCTGCGTCGGAGGCTGGTAGTGATCAGCTGCCTTCAGTGCTAGACAGCAGTGAGGCAGAGGAACAGCTTGAGCCTCTTCCCAGTGTGCACATGCACAGAGCTGCCAGAAGAAAAGAGCAGCTAGGAAACCAGGGTTGACTTGGGAGTAAAGCCACAGGTGAATGGCCCCTCCCAGAGGAAATGAAAGAGGAGCGAAAGGAGAGTGGGCTTTTGCAGGAACAATTCATTCATTCATTCATTTGTTGGTTTCAGAAGTGTGATGATCTATACATGAATCTCAGAGACTCTGTGCCTAATCTTTCCTTGCACAGCACTGCGTTTGGAAAATATTGACATGGCAGCTTTCCAAGCTAGATAAGGTCTGTGGTCATAACTTCACCTTTGAAAGACTGTTTACCAGGCCTTTGCTGAATGTGAATGAGAGGAATTCACATTCATTTAATAAAAGGGGTTTTGTCGGGACCAGGAATCTGCTTCATGCGTTTTGGGGGAGCCTAGGTCAGAACAGTTGCACAACCAGGTGTCGAGTATGAATCCAAAGAGATTTCAGCCAATCGAAAACTGTCATCTCCTCTCAAAGAGGTTCCTAAGAAATGGGAGGGTATAACACAAGGTTTGACACAACCCAGAAGAAAGCGAGAACATTGCATAAAATAATTATGGCTGTTGAACAGGTGCTGTGAGGTCTTCCAAGATTTCCCCACTTCTCATAGTTACATTGATGTCTGGAACCATGGAGATTTGTCACACTAAACCAGAGAGGATCTTTAGCTGCATTGAGGTTCTACTCAAGTCCTTATGTCTAATTGAAGAACATGTCAGCCAATTTCAGGGAACTACCCACCCTTTATTTGGCCAACCTAGGAGTGGGCCACTTGGTTGATTATCTCATCTGAAATTATTTATTAGGACTGTATTATTATTATTATTCTCATCCTTCCAAGTTCCTATCTCTTTCCACTTATGACTATAACCATGTTGCTTGTATCTTTACAATTTATATGGTTTTATTTGTTTCCTAGTATGATTTGATTGCTATGACTATCACTTAAGTGTTGCATCTTACGATTCTTGATGAGTGTATTCTATTTTATTTTTATTTATGCACACTGAGCGCATTGGCACCAAAGACAAATTCCTTGTGTGTCCAAACACACTTGGCCAATAAAGAATTCTATTCTATCCTATTCTACGCTACTCCATTCTTATTCCATTCTACTCTTCTCTTCCTATTCCATTCTTCTATTCTCTGCTGTGCTGTTATTATTCTGTTCTATTCCATTCAGTCCATTCTATTCTTTTATTCCATACTATTTCCCCATTCTTTTCTATTTTCCCATTGTATTCTATTCTTCCATTGTATTCTATTCTTTTAGTCCATTCTATTCTATTACTCTATTATATTATTCCATTCCATTCTATTCTTTTATCCCATTCTATTTTCTCATTCTATTCTATTTTCCCATTGTATTCTATTCTTCTATTCTATTCCTTTAGTCCATTCTATTCTTTTAGTCCATTCTATTATTCCATTCCATTCTTCTATGCTATTCTATTCTTTTATTCCATTCTATTTTCCCATTCTATTCTATTTTCCCATTGTATTATATTTTCCATTCCATTATTCTATTCTATTCTAAATCTGATTTTAATTGTCTATCACAGATGAGTCCCCTAGACCCAGCCCGCCCCCGCATTTACCTGAGACCCAAACACAAGAAAGCCATAACGAGTACCACCCTTGAAAATCAGAACACATGGGTGTTATCTATAGTACTTCATCAACTTTTATTAAGTTATTAAAATATGACAAATGTTGTGGGGGGGGGAAATCTACTCATTCACACACAAAAAGAAAACGGTTTATAAAAACAAGGAGCCTTGGCAGACTGCGTTCTGTACAAAATACTGTTAAACCAATGATTATTCTGCCTCTGGAACTCTCGAGTGTCTCAACACACCCAACACAAACAAGCTTACTAGCAAGAACTCCCTCTCAATTTGCACTTATTGCTTCTCACACGGAATGACCTTTAAATTTTGCTGCAGCAGTAACACCTTTAAGTGAGAGCTCAGCTCCCATTTAGCATCTCCACAGTTACGGTATGTACATTCATACATCTGCATACATACATACATACATACAAACATACATACATACGTGTGTATATGTATACATACACATTATGTACATTCTCTCACACATATATATACATACATATGTGCACATATATATATACACATACATACACACACACATATACATATATCTATAAACACACAAACATACACGTTCATTCACACACATGCATACAGATGCTGGATTATATATATATAATCTCAGTACTATATTTGGTCCTCAGAATGTATTTGGGTTTTCCAAAAGCCAAATATCTGTGTGGAGTAAAAACTGTTTATAAGCACTTGTGATTTGCAAGACGCACCTTGAGCTTGGGGAGGGAACACAACCCTCAGATGCTCTTGGTAACCAATACAACCAAGAAATACACACCTGGGGCCTCTAACCATCTTTAGTCAGTGAAAACGTGACTCTGAGTATTTAATTCCATAAGCTATTAAAAAGCCACTGTGGCTGTTGACACTTGCTTTGGAAAAGCAAGTTTTGGAAAAACTAATCCGCTACTTGAGGTTTGTCTGTGGCCGTGACTCATGGATAAATTAAGACACTAGGCAAGTTGGAATCTACTTAAGAGTTACAAGCCAACATAATTCTCAATATTAAGCGGTAAGTGGTGAGGATAAACACTTTTTAATTGATCCTGGATGGCCGCATGTATAAACTGTGGGTTGTCCGAGTAAGACTGACCACAAATGGCCCAAGGATTAATTTTCAGAGGATGACACCGAAAAGGCACCACATAGACAAGAGTAAGATTTCTTGAAAGAAAAAAAAAACACCACTTATAGAAGCACCAACAAGACAGCGAAGGACGTTTTGCCTAATCGTATTTGACAGCTAGCAGTGGATACAAATATTGATAGGAAAACGGTCACTTACTGTACCTGGCAGAGTAGGAGGAGGATTAAATCAGGAGTGGCCAAACATGGCCACTGTTTAAGATCTGTGGACTTCAATTTCCAGAATTCCCCTGCCAGCAGGGTAGGAAAGCCTGGGAGTTGAAGTCCACAGGTCTTAAAATGGCCAAGGTTGGACAGCCCTAGATTATATGGATCAGAGGGAAAAATTCTGACAGTACGATTATGGGACTGAGGCACGCACAGAAGTGTCGCTTGGTCTAGCAGCAACCAATTCCACTATGGACATGTGTGCAATCACTGGATTAATATTAGGAGTTAAGTATCAACTGAGAATAGCAGTGGGCATCTGCATATTTTGGGAGGGGGAGCTGCTTAGGTGCCTGCTTCCTGCACCCTGCATCTTGCAAACACTGCCCATCATTCAAACACTGAAGGAATTTCACATCCTTCTTCCAAGCGTGGAGTTTCCTATCCCATTCTCGGCACCAAGAAGCTCAGCAGAATTCGCTATCGAAGCCAAACAAAGGATCTCCCCTTAAAAAGAGCTCAGAAAAGTGCATTTTGGCCCCAGTGCTTCCCCTGCCGCTTAATGGTACCTTGAGGCTTTCAGTGTAAGCTAGACTTGATGCAACGATTCCTATGAAATATTTCACACTCCAATCAAGGCCAAGCATGGTGGCTTTCCAGGTTGCAGGGCCACAGTGATCCCGAAGAACTAGCAATTGCAACTATATTAAAAAGATAAATTTCCTGACAATGTCCAGAGGCGTGGCTTTGCAGCATTCTTCTCACAGAAGAAAGTGATGGAAAGTTTGAGAAGTTGTAAACTGGTTCGCCACTACAGAAGGTAATTTTTTTCAACGAAATACGGGCATGATTGAACAAAGAAGCCAACACCGATTAGACACTAAAAAGCTTTTCTCGGCTTGCCTAATAAGGATGGGTTATACCCTGATCTTTTTGCAGGCAAATCCACTTGCAAGTCTGTCTGGAAACATAATGAACTGGACAGCGCAAAACCTTACAATCTAGGGAAAAAATGGAAGATGATGAGAAGGCATACATGTTTGTGACGGAGCAGATGGATAGATGTTTTGTGCAGATTCCATGGGTTTGTTTTCTCAGGCCGGACCAGGCCAAGGTCTTGGAATCAGGAACAATAATACCATTTGCTCAAGGAGTCTTCAAGTGGTGCTCCACATTCCAGCCAGAGGAGGCCTGGTTTCAAATCACGACGTTGAAATGTACAGATTTGTCTGACGTTCCCGCTGGGATTTTTGGCACAGATTGGAAGGCTTTGCATTCAAAGCGTTCTATGGAACCACCGATTTGGAAAAGGTCCGATTTATCATTCAAACGTCCGCAACTACATTCAACGGACAGGAACTCCGGGTGGAAGAGGACAACGCAAGCCGAAACCAGCACTGGGCTGCATTCCTGTAAAGCAGGAATTCAACTTTGGCAGCTTGTAGACTTCGACTCCCAGAACCAGCATGGCCGAATGGAGAATGATGGAAGTTGAAGTCCACAGGTCTTTAAAATTGCCAAAGTTGGACATCCCTGTTGTAAAGAGATTTGGGTTATTATTTTATTGCTGGATTGCTATCAATCAGATGACAACAGGTCTTTTCCATTGGTCTTCTCCAGCCCACGTTAATTTTAGGTGTCTTTTTTCTCTCTCACAATTTATGAGTGCTTGTTGCAAGATCTGAGTGATGCCCTTATTATTTTTTTAAGCTTTATGCACGACGATACGATCAAAGGAATAGGATAGAGAATTGACGCCACCAGGAGAAACGCCAGGAAAAAGAAATAGATGTCCATACTGTATCAAATGTACATTTGGATTTGGGGGAAGAGATGCTACTGAAACGGACTTAAACGACACCCCAATGGCAATATGGGCAACGGCAAAAAAAAAGTGGGATTAGTCTTCCAAAAACAAACGGGTTGTTAAGAGAATCACTCCAGTTTTCAAAGTGAAAGGCATCTGGCTGAAACAGTTCCTACCTGAACCCTGCCCTTTGACCCTGCTGAAGTCGTCAAGTATGGAAGTCGCAGCTGCTGTAATTGATCACCAGCTTAAAATGTAATATGAAAATCATTGATGGCGAGCTCTTGTTGAGTAGGAATCAGATTAATAGGCTCATCTCATTTTTTTTAGAAAACCTTGTTAAGCTCCTGTGTTGTCTTCAAGAACAGCTCACGTTTGGCCTGGCGAGGCCAATCTAAGGTTAAACCACACCTGTCTAGGTCAAACAGCCTTTGGAGGGGCTTCACCAGTTCCCAGGTTCATATTGGTAACAACAGCCCAGCATTGGTGACATTTTGGCGAGGACATCATAAGGTCCTCTCCAGCTCAATAAAGATAGAAAGAGGAACATTCTCTGCATTGCAGAGAAGCGACACACTGCCTTCATATACATGGGCACCGAGATGTGGCACCTGTGCATTTTGTCAGGCCTGTTATCGATGTTAGTGTAGGAAACAAGTGACCTTTAAATGATTTCCAACAAGGTTCAGGGGGGAAAAAACCAGAAACAGCAGCAGCTTTAAAAATAGAGGTGCAAAACATTCTTTTGTGCTTCCCCGTTGGAAAAGAAGAAGAAGAAGAAAAAAAAAGCATTTAAACCTCATGGAGGAAAAAGTGAAACCCTACTGCGTCATGAGCCAAAAAGGACCTTTTTCACGTAGGATATGGTTAAGTTATTGTAGAGCATCGCAATATGTTCACTTCCTGGCAGCTCGTAAAGCATGACCTTCTGTTCCTGCTGACCTACCCACTTCTGGCACTGTAAGGCACTTTCTAAATTTACGGTTCCATCTCCGTTCCCATAAAAAATCTTCGGCTCTTTATCGGGTAAGCTGTCGTAGAAAAACGATTCCGGAGTATTGACCCCCGTGCCGTAAAGGCAGTGTGTGCGTACGCCTGGGGGTGTCATGCTGTAAATCAAGGCTTCAGTAGCTTTCCTCATGAGCCAACCATCTTCGAAACCAATGTCCCCATAGAACTTCTGGAAATCTCGAATCGTGTAGTTTGCGGAAGGCGTGCTGACGAAAATCTTCTCCGGTGACCAGGTGTAATTGTAAGGGAGCAACCAGTTGGTGGAAACGGCGGACCTCTGTTGGTCCCTGATCTTGAAGGAGCTGATCACGGGAATCCGATTGTTGTCCCCTGTGAGAGTAAAGCAAGGACTTGTTAGAATTAACAGTGGTGGGATTCAAAATTTTTTACTACCAGTTCTTTGGGTGTGGCTTGGTGGGTGTGGTTTGGTGGGCATGGCAGGGGAAGGATACTGTAAAATCCCCATTCCCTCCCCACTCCAGGGGAAGGATACTGCAAAATCTGGCACTCGGGAGGCAGAGAATAGATGGGGGTATCTATTCTGAGCCAGTCAGAAGTGGTATTTACCGGTTCTCCGAACTACTCAAAATTTCTGCTACCGGTTCTCCAGAACTGGTCAGAACCTGCTGAATCCTACCTCTGATCATAAACATGTTAATTCATGTTGGGGGAGGGAACACAACTTGGAACTTAGCATATTTTCTAAGACATTACAGAAGGCCCCTTTCCTCAACAAATAATGTGGAGCGGAGCCATATTGCAAAAGTTGGAGAACAGCTTGAAGCACGTTAACAAAAGTGGCTGTCCTTCAAAGACAATCATCTAAAGCTATCAGTATTTTCTTTGAGAGGGGAAAGAGATTATATCAGATGAGTTTTGAAGATATTGTTTGATAGCATCTTATCGAAACCATTTCGCCACACTAACAGGGCAAGCTACTAGTACTGTGATGGCGAACCTATGGCACCCACACCACAGGTGGCTCATGGAGCCATATTTGCCGGCATGGCAGCCCTTGGCAGCCCTCAGCTCCAGCCAGCTGATTTTGGAGGGCTGGGGAAAGCCGTTTTTGCCTTCCTCAGGCTTCAGGAAAGCCTCCAAAGCCTAGAGAGGGCAAAAAAAATGCCCCAATGGACAAACCGGAATTTCTGGTTGTGCGTTTGGGCTGTTTTTCGCCCTCTCTAGGCTCCGGAGGCTTTCCTGAAGCCTAGAGAGGGCAAAAAGCGGCCCAATGGGCAAACCGGAAGTTCATTCCTGATCTTCCGGTTGGTCTGTTTTTCGCCTACCCCAAGTTCTTCTGGTTGACCTGTTTTTCCCCAGGCTCCGGAGGCTTTCCTGAAGTCTGGGGAGGCCAAAAACTCCCCCCACTCTTGCGCGGGGCTGTGGGCGCATATGCAAGTGGGCAGTCGCCCGCAGCCCCGCACAAGAGTGGGGGGAGTTTTTGGCCTCCCCAGACTTCAGGAAAGCCTCCGGAGCCTGGGGAAAAACAGGTCAACCAGAAGAACTTGCTCAGGTGGGTGGGCACACAAACACACACACAGTTTTGGCACACCCTTAGGAAAAGGTTAGCCATCACTGCACTAGTGCATACAATGAGAGCAAACCCCACCCCTTCTAGTACTGATGATGTTGCCTAGTGTGGTAATAAAACATCTGCAAGAAAACAACACTTGGTGGCCCAAGTCCCCCAGCTGTCTCCTGATTTCTAACCTGGTGCCCTCACCACCAAGCTGAATACCAGAATTATAGTATTCCCCAGATTACTCTCTGAGGATCAAAGTACGCTGGACATGTCCAGTTTGCACCATTGTCCCCCATATCCCTCTAAACCCACCTACCTGATGCCAGCACTCGGAAAGCTTTAGCCACTCCTCCCCATGGAGCCCCCAAGGAAACAAAGTCCCGGATGTATTTGTCTTTCCATTCCTGGGGCTGACGGCTGAGGAAGTACAGGGAATACATGTTCCCCATACTGTGGGCAATCAGGACCACCGGTCCACCATACTCTTCGTACATAATCTCGATCAGCTTCTGGAGAGCTTCAAAATAGTCTCCATTCTCATCTGCAAGGATGAAGAGACAGGAGTTATCCAGTGGAAAGTTGTTACCTTCGTTCAATTTAAAAACCTTTGTTGACCTGCCAATAGATTACTAACGTTCAGTCTGGCTATTGCACCAGCTGAAATGGCCAGGGAAAGAATCCAAGAATTATTGATAGAGACATGATTTGTTTCAGGGTAGCTTTATATGTTAACAAACAGGTTCTGCACCAGGAAATGTAAGAAAGGTGAGCGGTTTAACTAATCAATCAATCAATCAATCAATCAATCAATCAATCACAAACACTTCCAAGGATGTTGCTCTGAATTGGTTATTTGCTAACCAAGTAATTCCTTTTAATTAGCTAGATGTCTTTACCTGGGACTCAAGGTATCCCATTTAATTACCATTCGAAGAAATGTGTTAACAGTTTTGTTGTTGTTGTTGTTAGTTGCGAAGTCGTGTCCGACCCATCGTGACCCCATGGACAATGTTCCCCAAGGCCCTCCTGTCCTCTACCATCTTCTGGAATCCATTTAAACTCACGCCAACTGCTTCGGTGACTCCATCCATCCACCTCATTCTCTGTTGTTCCTTCTTCTTTTGCCCTCAATCCTTCCCAGCATTAGGCTCTTCTCCAGTGAGTCCTTCCTTCTCATTAGGTGGCCAAGTATTTGAGTCTCGTCTTCAGGATCTGGCCTTCTAAAGAACAGCCAAGGTTGATCTCCTCTAGGACTGACTGGTTTGGTCCCTTTGCAGTCCAAGAGACTCACAAGACTCTTCTCCACCACCATAGTTCAAAGGCCTCAATTCTTTCACTCTCAGCCTTTCTTATAGTCCAACTTTCACAGCCATACAAATTAACAGTTTAGGTCCCCTAAATCAGGGGTGTCCAACTTTAAGCTTGGCAGCTTTAAGCTTTGTGGACTTCAACTCCCAGAATTCTCCAGCCAGAATGGGGAATTCTGGGAGCATGTGGACAGGGGAATTCTGAGAGTTGAAGTCCACAGATCTTAAAGTTGCCATGATTGAACACCCCTGTCCTAAATGAAGGAATCCTTTCCTACTTTCTCACACTTTATAAAGAACAAAAATATTTCTAAGGTTTATCCCATGATCTGAGAGAAAGGTGTTGCAACTGCAACTGATATAATTACAGCACACCCAGAATACATATACTCTATATTTACACAATGACTTTATGAAGGATATGCACTCTAGCACATTTTCACGGAGGCCCTAAAGCTAATCTTGATTTCAACAATATTTATAAAACTATGAAGACATACTTGCATTTCGTCTTCTGATATAATCACAGAATAAGGATTTAAGTCTGGGTAAGACTTCAGTGCTTTGCTTATTTTCTGACACTCCTTCAGTGAATAACAATCACAGAAGTGAAACCTGACATTTCTGATGAAAACTCATTTTAAAAATTCTTTTTCAGAACTGCAAAAGTTTTTATTCATTACACGGCCGCCTTTAACTAATTTAGCATTAAGCCCAACAGTTTGAGTTCAGTGTTGAATGTCTGTTTTAAAAAGAATGATATTTCTATACCTTGTAGATAGTTTATTTAGTTTTGTGTTTAAAAAAACCAGTTATCCTTGCTTGTTGGGTGATATTTTAAAGCAGGAATTATTCATCTTTGTTAATAGCATTGCATATTGTTTTCATTATTTCTATTATTACAGTATACTAAAACCGTAGCAATTTATACCCCAAAAAACTGACAAGAGTTTTGTCAATGTACTCAGTTTTCTAAAGGTTTCTGCCTGAAGTTCATAAATCCAAGTCAAAACCCATGTAGCAAGATAAATATATTCTGGGCTTGGGTTAAAAAAAAGTTGGCCTTTCAAATAAGGGGAAACCAGCTTCTATCATCTGGTATAAACAAACAGCAAAAACCATGATCTGGTTCAAACCCCAATATATACTTGCAATCTCCATATGTGAGATCAGCAACAGACTGGGTAACAGAGAGAGGAACATTATTTTCCATTGTTGGGGTGGTTTTTCCCCAGCTGTTTTTATCAGTCTCTCTCTCTCTCAAGTATTTTATCAAGAGCCATTGGCTTTCTTGCAGCATCCGATCAGCGAGGCGAGAAGATTGATTGGCCAACAGTCTTGTGACATTCGGTTGCATCAGTGGGCAAACAGCTCAAGAATGTTTTTGTGCAGTTCTTAGGATCTAAAATCCCTCAGGTTGTTCAAGTACAGATTAGGCAAAACCTGGCTCAAAAACAGTAACTTGTGAGAGGGACCCTGGAGTCTTAAGTGGACGATCACTTAAGCAGTGAGTCAGCAGTGTGCAGTAGCAACAGCCAAAAAAGCCAGAACAATCCTTGGTTGTATAAACAGAGGCACAGAATCAAAATCACGTGAAGTATTAGTACCGCTTTCTAAAGCTTTAGTAAAGCCACAGCTGGAATAACTGCACCCAGCTTTGCTCACCACATCACAGAAAAGTTGTTGAGACTCTGGAAAAAGATAAAGGAAAAGCAACTAAGGTGATCAAAGGCCTGGAGACTGAAATATATGAAAAACGGTTGCAGGATTTGGGCTTGGCTACTCTAGAGAAAAGAAGAACTAGGGGTGACATGATATCAGTATTCCAATATTTGTGGGGCTGCCACAAAGAGGAGGGGCGTCAACTTATTCTCCAAAGCACCTGGAGGCAGGACAAGAAACAATGGATAGAAACTAATCAAGGAGAGGAGCAATCTGGAATTGAGGAGAAACTTCCTAACGGTGAGGACAATTAACCAGTGGAACAGCTGGCCACCAGAAATCGTGAGCCGTTCTATCACTGGAGAGAATAACTCAGCTCTATTCAGATTCTGATTTTGACTCTGAAGGTTTTAAGCAGAAGCAGATGTATTGGGCTCAATTGTGGTCGCACGTGGAGGACGACCTATACTCTAGTCCTCTTTGATGTTTTCGACTAATGTACATTAACAAGGAAATGCTTCTTTGCCTGGAAAAGTTGGAAAACTTCCATGCAACATAGCAAACGTTCCAAATTCTTAGGAAATCTAACACCCCCCCCCCCATCTTGTTTTGCAAAGATATGCAAAGGAAGCAGCACTTTGCAAAAATGAAAGGAAGATTCTCTACCACACACGCAGACACACACACTGGGGAAGTTGTTGGGGTTTTTAAAAATATTTTTAACCTCTTTAGTGGTTGGAAATAAAACCTGATACGCAATGCAACAAAATTAAAATCTCCAATGCAGCTGCAGAGCCTGCCAAATGCCAAAGAAGAACACAACCAGCAAAAAAATTGCATCAAATCACGTGCCAAAGGGACATCTCCAACAATGGGCTGTGATTGGTTTTTGGGAGACAAATGCCATAAGCTTAAAAAAAGGGGAGCGGGAGAAGAGATGAGCAACACAGCAGAAGACATCCCAGACCAATGGTGAAAAGCAAAGTTTGTTAGGACAGAAAGTGGACAAAGTTTTGTTCATGATGTTCTTAGTTATACCATAGACTAAAACAAAAACCAGATGGAATTTCAGTTGCACCATTATGATTTTTTGGGAGAATAATCTGAGGAGGCCTTGCCACTGTATAACAGAATAACAGAGTTGAAAGGGATCTTGGCGGTCTTCTAGTCCAACCTTCTGCTCGAGCAGAAGACCCTACACCATTCCGGACAAATGGCTGTCCAATCTCTTCTTGAAAATCTATGGTGACAGAGCACCCTCAACTTCTGAAGGCAAGCCATTCCACTGGTTAATTGTTCTCTGCAACAGGAAATTTCTCCTTAGTTCTAGGTTGCTATTCTCCATGATTAGTTTCCATGTTGCTTTTTGTCCTGCCTTCATGTGCTTTGGAGAAAAGGTTGATCCTGTCTTGTTTGTGGCAGCCCCTCAAATATCAGAACATTGGTATGTCACCTCTAGTCCTTCTTTTGATTAAACCAAACATGCTCAGTTCCTGCAACTGTTCTTCATATGTTTAGCCTCCTGTCTCCTAATCATCTTATTATCACTATCCTTATCATCTTGTAATCACATCTTATAATCCCTATCTTATTTTTCTCCTCATTTATAACCATTTGAAAATTTAAAGCCAAAAGGACTGGGGGATTCATCCATTGAGAAAATGTCTGCCAGGGGAGACACAACCCCACATCAAAAACAGAGAGTTGTATTAACAACTGCACAAGCTACATATGCTACTCTCCTTGGTGACATGTGAGCATTTGGGGGGGGGGGGGACATGGGACATTTCACAATCAAGTACCAGGCTGCCCATCATCTCGGTGACGCAGAGGTTAGAGGGCAGTACTACAGGCTACTTCTGCTGACTGCCGGCTGTCTACAATTTGGCAGTTCAAATCTCACCAGGCTCAAGGTTGACTCAGCCTTCCATCCTTCCAAAGTAGGTGAAATGAGGACTCAGATTGTTGGGGCAATAAACCACTTAAAGAAGGCGGTAAAGTGGTGTATACGTCTAAGTGCTATTGTTATCTTGGTTTTTAACTGTAACTTTTTAAATGTTTTATCCCATTTTAATTGTTTTTTGCACTTTTAAAGTTTTATTTATTTATTTAGAAAATTTATTTAGCTGTGTATTTGCTCACAGCGACTATAAGAGGCTTGCAAACAATAAAATACAGAATATAGAAAAAGCAATAAAAATAATAAATGCCAAACACCCCCACACTCCAGCAACGTGGTCGAATAAGCCACTTTATGTCCTCCAGCCCACTCTGGGTTTTCCAGGCCCACTGGCAAAACCAAATCTTAAAGGGTTGATATTTCAAGCTTATCCTGTCAGGTGCCCAAGGTCACTATTTTAGTGAAATAGGTACCACAGAAACTCCATAAATAAGTAACATCCATAACCTTAATTTTCTTAATTATCTAAAAATACTTGAGGTCCAGAAGCAACCTTGGGGGTGGGGGGGGGACAATTATTCCAGAAGGTGGCCTTTTGCTTGATAGCACGGTAGCTTTCTGATTAAAGCAAACCTTTAATAATCTTATTATCCAAAGATTTAAGAGCCCAAATCCTTATTAATAATGAATGTCATACTTGGTGCCTTCCGCCAATCGTAAGGAGCGCCTCTGATACTTTCGTCTCGCTGATAGCCCAGATCTACCAGTTTTTGCACCAGAGTGTAGAAGTACGTGCCTGTAGACAAAGAGAATTGTGTGTCAGCAAACCTTCAATCAGCAATCTTCCCTTTGCACAGAGTGAGCTTAGAGCGAGTAAGGAAAAAAATGTTTTTGTCTTCCCCGGCCCCCAGGAGCACTCTGCAAGCTTCAGCAGGCCTGGGGGAAGGCAAAAATGCCTCTGTTTTTGCAAAAAACAGATTGAAAACGGGTTGTTTTTCACCAAAACGGGGGGAGGGGGTTCCTTTCCCCCAGCCCTGCTGAATCCTACAGAGTGCTTCTGGGGAATGGGGGAAGGCAAAAACACCGTTTTGATGAAAAATGTCCCATTTTTTGCCCATTTTTCACCAAAATGGGGGCATTTTTCCCTTCCCCCAGACCTGCTGAAGCCTGCAGAGTGCTTCTGGGGGATGGGGGAAGGCAAAACACCCCCATTTTAGTGAAAAATGGCACCTTTCTGCCCATTTTTCACAAAAATGGTATGCGAGGTGGGGCTTCGGGAAGCCAAAAATGGCTGTATTTGGTGTATGACCAATATTTCCATGCTCTTTTGAGGGGGGGAGGTGCTTCTTAGGCTCCGAAAAATATGTTAATTTAAAAGTATTCTTTAAAAAAAAATGCTTGATTTCTGCAAATGTCCACACCAGTACCAGGCGACATTCTCTTTCATTTTAATGTTTCCTTAGTTGCCGAGGGCAGGGAGAGGTGAGGCTCAATGGATAAAGACGCTGAACTTGTCAGCTGCGAAGCTGACAGCCGGTATTTGAGACCTGAGCACTAGGCGACGGATTGAGCTCCTGTTCCTTGCACCAGCCCCTACCCACTTAGCAATTCAATTCAATTCATTATGGTCATAGATCAGAGAGCAGAACAAATAAAAACGCTCAATAAATATACCATGAAAAATTCTAGAATAAAATAACAACAGATAAGATCTCTATGATAACATCCAGTGTGACAATTACACATGGTGTACCATACTAAAAATTCAGTCCATAAGTTGTGTGGCCCGTAGTCAGTTTAATACTAAGAGGAAAAGGAATAAGCAATGCAAAGGGTTGCATAAAATAGCTGTGGTGGATTAGACACGTTTCCAACAAATCCCCAGGGCTGCTGCGCAGAATCTAGCCACCTGCGCTGTAGTTATGGACTGCTCATCCTTAAGCAGCCACTGGAGATAATCGGTGTTATAATGGCAATTATTGGAAGGATATATTTTTGTCTGCATCTCTGTGTAAAAGGAACATCGAAGGAGTATGTGATGGTATAAATAGCAATTTGAAAGCATGCAAATGCGAGTAGATAAATAGGTACCACTTAGGTGGGAAGGTAAGTGTGTAGACCTCTGGCATAAAGCCATGATGGTCACATGACCACTGAAAATGCCTTCGGGCAGTGCTGGCTTCCTCGATTAGGAAACAGAGTGAGGGCAACGCCCTAGAGTCAGACATATTTAAGCCCAAAATGTTGGTTGCTAAGTGGGACACTTGTTAAGCGAGTTTTGCCCCATTTTGCGACAAATTCTTGCCATAGTTGTTAAGTGACTCGCTGGAGCCGTTAGTGATACAGTTGTTAAGTGAATCGGGCTTCCCTATTGACTTTGCTTGCCAGAAGGTCGGAAAAGAGGACTATGTGACCTTAGGACAACCTGCAACTGTCACTAAATATGAGTCCGTTGCCAAACATCTGAATTTTGACCACGTGCCTATGGGGATGCTGCAATGCATGGAAATTGGTCATAAGTCATTTTTTTCAGTGCCGTTGCAACCTCAAGCAGTGTTGTGATCTGCCAGCGGCCTGCGGAACTGGCAGCAGAGTCAGACAGGGAGGAGGGTGGGGAGGAACATGGGCCAGTCCTGGAGTCTGGGGAAGGCACTGATGAGGGCTCTGCGTCAGAGGCAGAGAGGAGGCCAGGGCCATTTGGGAGTTACAGTATGTGCTGCCTCTGGAGCCTCCAGAGTCGGACATCAGCGAGGCAGAGGAACAGGGAGAGCCTGTTCCCAGTGTGTGCATGTGCAGAGCTGCCA